CAAGATCTTTTGAAAAAGACACTGAGTTTAGATTTGATGACAAATGTATTGAGGCGTTCGAATTATTAAAGAAAGAACTCACCTCAGCTCCGGTGTTAGCGTTGTTTGATCCGGCCGCAGAAACTGAGCTGCATACTGATGCGAGCAGCTTAGGCCTCGGTGCAATCCTTCTGCAGCGGCAGAAGCACGGATCCTGGTGCCCGGTGGCTTACTTTAGCAAGACCACCAATGAGGCAGAGCAACGCTATCACAGTTTTGAGTTAGAAATGTTAGCCATTGTACGCGCAGTCGAGAGATTTCATTTATACTTATACGGTTTGCAATTCACAATAGTAACAGATTGCAGCGCGTTAGTATATGCCGTAAACAAAGCTAATCTTAACCCGCGTATTGCGAGATGGACACTCACCCTTCAGAATTATTATTTTCGGATGGTCCATCGGCCGGAAGAGATGGCACACGTAGATGCCCTGAGTCGTTGCGTCGGCTATGTAAACGAGCACCCCATCGAACGCGAGCTGGAATTGAGGCAGCTCACTGATCCTAGAATTAAGGAAATTAGCGATAATTTAGCAGTTAGTGACAGTAATAAATTTATATTGTTCAACGGACTAGTATATAAGAAAACAGAAAATAATAATTGTAGATTCGTCGTACCTGCTTCAATGGAGACGAGTCTGATTAGGGCCCATCATGATGATATGGCTCATTGCGGCCTGACTAAAACATACGAGGGAGTTAGTCGAAACTATTGGTTTCCGTCGATGCGTAAAAAGATTAATGAGCACATTGCAAATTGTGTTACCTGTCTGATGGCGAACGATGCCGTCAATCGTTTTGAAGGGGAGACATCTCTCTACCCCTCGTCGTCGATCCCGCTGGAAGTACTCCACGTGGATCATTTCGGGCCGCTGGAAGAAACGAAAGATCATTTTAAACACATCTTCGTCGTAGTGGATGCGTTCACGCGCTTCACGTGGTTGTGCCCGACGAAATCAACCACGACGCGTGAAGTAACTGATCATTTAAAAAATATCTTTTGTACATTTGGTAATCCGTCACAAGTAATTTCGGACCGCGGAACGGCGTTCACGTCGAAGGAATTCACGGAATTTACGGAAAAATTCAGAATTAAACACCGCAAAGTTGCCGTGGCTGCGCCTTGGGCGAACGGGAGGGTAGAACGAGTGAATCGCTTCCTAAAGTCCTCGTTGACTAAATTAATCGATTCCGCGTCGCAGTGGAAAGACGCATTAAGTAAATTACAATATATTATAAATAATACTTACCATTCGATGACGAAGTCCAGCCCGTCGAAGCTATTGCTCGGGTACGAGCAACGCAGCCACGCAGACTTTCCGTTCGCGCGTCTCACACGGGTCCTAGCCGACGTTGATACGGACCTGGAACGTGAGCGAACCGCCGCACGCGCTACGGCGCACGAGGCGTCAGAATTGATTCGCGCCTATAACAAAAAATACCGCGATGTCAGATTTAAGAAACCTTCAACTTATGAAGAAGGCGATTTAATATTAATTAGGAATACAAGGGCTAAACCCGGGGAAAACGCTAAATTAAAACCTAAATTTATCGGCCCGTATATAGTGGGCAAAAGTCTGGGCAATAACAGATATGTAATAAAAGATATACCTGGTTTTAATGTAAAGATGAAACCGCTGAACACGATTATGTCAAGCGAGCGGATGAAACCCTGGGCCAAACAGGTGCCCGACGCAGGAGGTCCTAAACAAAAAACGGACAGCCAGCACTAAATAAGTTGCGTTAGAATAAGTTGCGTTAGAATAAGTGCGTTAGAATAAGTTGCGTTAAAATAAATTGCGTTAAATCAAGTTGCGTTAGAGTAAGATACGTTAGAATAAGTTGCGTTTAGTAACTAACAATTTTACTGTGATGTTAGTGAAAGAAACAATAAAAGTAAAATACAGGAATAGTTACCGGTACTGCATGATGTCACATGCACGTCACACACACGAGCTTCATCCAGAGTCTGCGTACTACAAATGGGACGTAGTACATTTGCAGAATGGCCGAGCTGTAAGTTATAGCTACGGTCGACCGATAGGAGGCGCAAATATGCACTAGGCGATACACAGGGTCGCAAGATATCGACTCTCGATAGATCGAGAGTTAACGGATCGATCTATGCGCGCGCCACCGGATCCGCCGAAGGATCGAGAACGATCCGGAATCTTCCCCAGGAGCAGGATTATCCGAAGAGAAATCCGGTAAAGCACTCTGTAAAGAACCGGCGATAGAGTCAGTCGCGTTTAGAGTCGTCGATAATTGTCGTGAGAATAGATTTAGTCGAGTCGAGCGATATGCAGTGTAAAATGTATTAAGGCAAAGTAATAAAGGCCATTCTTCTTTCTGGTAAAAGTGATTTATTCATACACCGCGTTTACATTATTATTGCTGTCGGTAGCCAATCGGAGCACGTGGTTTAAATTAATAAGGCTAACGGACATTTTGAACGAGAGAACTCAGTGCTCCGACCGTTACAAATTATTGCTAAAAAGACTAGCTGGATTCCTGTCCAACCGGGTCGAGCCGCTTGTCGATTAAAACTAGTCGGAGAACTTTCAACAGCGTCGAGTTGTCATGAATCATAAAGGTTCTAGATGGTTATGTCTATCTCATTTTTCGGTCCTAGTGAAACTAACTCGAACTTGAATTATCGTAAACACCCAAATAACATAGATCAAAAAATCATCGTAAAGAATCGTAATTCGATTACAACGCTAACTATATTCAGCCAAATATAAATATTATTGTTCGAGGACTCGGACCGAGATCTCGGATTGAGTTCTAGCATCGTGGACACAAGGCTTTAGTCCGTGGTGTCGCCTAAATGCCTTGATGGAAAGCTCCCACTGTGTTTATTTGTGTCTCATTAGTGGAAAACTACCATTATGTCGAACACTAGGCGCATTCAGCGGAACAAACCGCTCAGTAGCAATCGAACGTGATTGGCTCTTACTTTTACAGCCAACAAATCAGCAGCGTCATTCAGCGGAAAATCTAGTAACTTTGCTCAACTGTTGAGTCCACTGAATGCGGCCACTGTGTGATTTTGTGTCGCTTGTGTCTCTTGGGCCGGTATTCATAGTCCGTTCTTAAGGCCGGAGCACAGACTTTTACATAAAGCATAACGCATAAGCATAAGGAAATTGATTGGTCTATATATA